AGTTAGTATTTTAACATGTTTTATGCCCCTACTTGCCTGTGCTTTGGTTATAAATCGCTACAAAATAGTCCCAAAATGCTCACAAGTTGTGCTTGATTGCAGGTTTGATCGACAAAGTGACGAAATGTCAAAGATCGGCTCAAAAGGAGTAAAACCTGCTCAAGTGTTAAAGACCAAGAAATCTAAGGAAAATAGACCCTAGTGCGGACCGCGCAAAAGTGAATGCGGACGCACTAGGAGGTCCAGAGAGTTGGTATAATCAGGCTGAGGCTACGCGGCCACACTACTCTTTTGTGCGGTCCGCAGTCAGGCTCCGTGGCCGCACTACTCTTTTGTGCGGTCCGCGGACATGAGGTTCAGAGACTTGACTAATTTGGGCTTAAGGCCACGCGGCCGCGGTACTCGTTACGCGGTCCGCAGTGGTTGCTTCGCGGCCGCGCTACCTTTTGGTGCGGTCCGCGGAGCAGAGATTCAGAGAGTGAAGATTCCCAGTGTTCCAGCCACGCGGTCCGCGGTCCATAATGTGCGGACCGCGCCAACTCCCTCCGCGGCCGCGGTACACTTCCACGCGGTTCGCGGTCCTCAAGTTCAGAGAAGCAGAAATGTGAAGTCCAAGAGCCAGTGCGGCCGTGGTCCTTTTTGTGCGGCCCGCACTGACCCTGCAGGGGTATTTTTGTCCAGTTTGTCCAGCCTAGTATAAATAGAACATTTTACCATTTTTAGGTAAGTTTTAGTATTCCAGAGATAGCTGCGCACGTGAGACTCGGTTTTGTAGCCATTTTTGGCACTTTAGCTTTAATTTTACGATAGATTCTTGTGATTTCTTTTTAGTAATTAATTAATATGCTTAGTCCTTCATCTATTTCTTCATTTTCTCTTTCAAGCATGAGTAGCTAAACCCATAAGCTAGGGTTGTGGCTCAACCCTAGTGTGGGTAATTGATGGGTGTTTCCATCTAGGGTTAGATTGATTATGGTTGTTTGTTATTTGGGTTGATTTTATATTTTTATTTAAGAATTGGTGGTTGCAAACACTTATTCAAGCTTTGTGGGTTAGACTCTTCTTGAGAAAGAGAGTTTATGACCCCAAAATTGACCCAACAAGGAATTAGGATGGACTCATGAGAAATGATAGTCCCACTTAACGGGTTAAATCTCGAGAGAGTAATCACCCTACTTGAACCCTAGTTGCTTGATCTAATTTGCCTACTCAATTGGTCTCGAGAGAGTCAATTGGGCAAAATCACTCTCTCTACCGAGAGGTGTGAGAGTGGGTACAATTGTGCAACGGTTATAGCATAAGCCCCAAATATGTCAATCCATCCTTAGTAACATCTACCCGTCAATTAGCCACCTAGGCAGTGTCACGACCGTAGTGCCTTTCTTCCCATTAGATACAACTTAGCAATATTCTAGTAGCATAATTTAGCATTAATCATTAGTTTTATCATCGTAGTTATAAAATCAAAAAAAACCAAGAATGTTTGAAGTGACATTAGGAGTACAAACACATCTCTGGACTAGACAGAAAATCCAACTCCACTACTAGCTCCCTGAGGAAATCGATCCCGACCCTCATATCGGGTAAAAGCTATTGCGATCCGCTCTTCCTACCTTGGTGTAGCGTCGAGTAGGCAGCGATCAAGGTGCCATGGTGTATGTTATTTGCAGATATATAATGCTGATTGACGAGACGCACTGCGGGGATAATGCTAGGCTAGAGGTGTGGCGTTAGACTCTAGAGTTTAAAGGTTTCAGATTGAGCAGGACAAAAACAGATTACTTGGAGTGTAAGAAGAAGTGGACGTGAAGCTTGATACACAAGCCATCCCCAAGAGAGATAGTTTCAAATATCTTGGGTCTATAATACCGAGTGACGAGGAAATTGACCAGGATATTGCACATCGTATTAGAATGGGGTGGTTGAAATGACAGCTCGCTTCTGGTGTTTTGTGTGACAGGAATGTACCACCTAGACTTAAAGGAAAGTTCTACAAAGCGGTAGTTAGACCGGCCATGTTATATGGTGCGGAGTGTTGGCCAATCAAGAAATCTCATGCCTAGAAGAAGAAAGTAGCAGAAATGAGGATGTTGAGATGGATATGTGGGCATACCAGAAAAGACAAGATTAGGAGTAAATATATTAGGAACAAGATGGATGTGGCCCATGTGGAAGATAAGTTGCGGGAATCGAGGCTGAGATGGTTTGGACATGTGAAGAGGAGAGACTCTGAAGCCCCGGTTAGGAGGTGTGATAAGTGAGTATTTTACCAACTTATCTCGGTTGATACAATCGTGTGTTTAATGTCATTTACTTCTATTTTATAGGTTGTATTTGATTTAGAAGTGATGACGAAGAAACCAATTGAAAACGAGTAAAAAAAGGAGCTAAAATGGAAATGAAAGTCTGCCTAGTGAATTACCCTTCGCGAACGCGAGGCAGCAGGAAGTCAACCCTTCGCGAACGCGAAGGAGAGACCGCGAACGCGAAGCAACATGAATCCACCCTTCGCGAACGCGAAGCTACAGAAAAATAACCTTCGCGAACGTGAAGGTATAATCGCGAACGTAAAGAAGAAATTGGCAGAAAAACTGGGCAGCTCTGGAATTTTATGTTTTTGACCTCAAACCATTTAATACATGACCTAGCTCATTTGTAAAACATCTTTGGCTTATTTTTCAGCCTTTGGACTAGAGAAGACAAGTTTGGGAGCTAGCGTTCTTTCACACACACTTAGGTTTTGAAGATTTGAAACTTTTGAATGAGAATTTCTTACCCATTTATGTTCAATTTCTTCATTTCCTTGCTTTGTATTGTATATCTATGTGTGTAGTATTTTTTCCAACACTTGAATTATGGGAATATTCATATTTAAAATGTGGATTAAATATCTTGTTGTACTTATGTATTGAACAATTTTTATTTATTATGAAGTGAGTTATTATTTCTTTAATTATTCTTGTTCTTTAATGTTTTCAATTAGCTAACCCTAGGACTCGCCCATTTACTTCGAATTAATTTTGGGAAAGATAATTTGGGGTTAGGAAAGATTAATTAACAAAAACTTGAGGCTTTAACCCTCACTTTATAGATTCTACATAGGGATAGGATTGGACTACTTGTAGCCATAATCGGGTGTGCTTAATCTCTTAATTGCTTTAGGGATAATACAATTAGGAAGTCTTGTTAGTCTTTGGAATAGGCTAATATAGAATTATTACCCGAGGCTAATTAACGTAAACTCGCTCATTTTTGTAAAATCGTGAAATACATTGGATCTTTACTTGAGTGTAATTCTCCGTGTATCCATACTTGTAGCCATTGATCATTTTACTTGCTTTCTAGGTTAGTTTACATTTTCCAACTAGTTATAAATATTTTCTCAAAACTTTTCTAAGTGTTTGGCTTAGCATAATAAGTGATAATTCTCTTACACGCCTTATCGCCTACAATTGTTCTCTGTGGAATTCGACCCCGACTCATAGTTGGGTAAATTATATTGTATGCGACCGTGTCCATTTACTTTTTAGTAGTGGATTGAACGTCACCAACGTGCGAGAAGTTACCCATGGCGAGTCAGAGGAAGGGTAGAGGGAGGCCTGAGAAGAACTGGGTGAGGTGATTAGGCAGGACATGACTCTGCTCCAGCTTACTAAGGACATGACCCTTGATAGAAAGGTGTGGAGGTCGAAAATTAGGGTGATGGGTTGGAAGAGAGTCTAGAGTTTCGCCTTGTCTTACCGGTAGTAGTAGTACTAGTCGTATATCTTCCTATTCCTAGTCCATTGTTTTTATACAGTGTGGCATTGTCATCAGTAGGATCTGCACTACCGTGGTAGTTTCGTATCCTTGGACCTCTGTTGTTACACATTGTATTATTTGCTTCATTATCTTATTTCCTTGTTGTTGCTATTTTTTTTCTATTGCTTCTTATTACTATTCGTGAGCCGAGGGTCTTTCAGAAACATTCTTTCTACCTTCATAAGGTAGGTGTAAGGTCTGCGTACACACTGCCCTTTTCAGATCCCACTTATAATTTGACTTCATTAAATTTTTTATTGTTGTTGTTGTTGTACTCTTAAAATATTTTTAATATATTTGGCCAAACTAATTACGTTTGTTAGTAAGTCCATAAAGATAGAGGAATAATTATATTTTTTGGCCGTTCTAGAAATAATAGCAGAAAAATATATATGATTTATATGTTAAATATAATTATACATATAATATACATATTAACAATATATAATTAGTATAAATTGTAAAGAAAAAACAAAAAATTAAATCATGGCCTACATGCATGCGTGTCAGTGGCCAGTGGCCACTGGTTCCAAGCAGCGTGCAACATCTGGATCGGAGTCGGCACCATAGCGAAACTAATGATAGGTACGCCATTGTGTTGTTCCTTTGACCAGAAGTTTAATTGTTTTGATAGAAAGACGATAACTGCAGCAATCACTGTTGGCACTGACTTCTCACCACGTGTACTGCTTCTTTCCACTCTTCAACACTTATTTCGGCCATCTGTCCTCTTTTCCTTATGCTGCTAACGTTCATCGTGCTATACACAACTTCTTTTATCATCAATATCAACATTTCAGTTTAAATAATAACAGCTTATTAATTTATAAATTCAACTCTGACATTAACTACTACTTCCTCCGTTCCACGTGAACCTGTTTGATTGGGCACGAAATTTAAAAAAAAATAAAAATTTTTTATAATTTGTAGTCCTAAATAATTTAAAAAGGAGCCCAGAGTATTTGTGTGGTTATAAAAGCTTCTCAGTAAGGAGTAGAATTGTAAGTTTAAGCTAAATAGTTTCCAAAGTTAGAAAGGGGTCATTCTTTTTAGAACGGACCAAAAATGAAATAGGTTCACATAAACTAGAACAGAGGGAGTAGTATTTATTTAACTATTTTTAATCAGCTAGTAAGCAGTATAAGTTTTAAAAATAAAAAATAAAAAAATTGCATATATAAAAGGTTACACGACTGGATATAAATAGTGGATCCGCCTTCTTTGAATATCATTCCATCACCTGAAATTTCTCTGGACCCTTCTTGTTCCCGAGTCTAGTTCCTTCTACCTTGCACTCTCTTCTCAATAGTAAACGCTATAATCGGATCACATGGAGCTGAAACACAGAATTACCAAAGGAGGACAAGAAGAAGAAAAGGAAGTTGTCCAAACAGCAGAACAGAAAGATAGAGAAATGGACAGAAGCAGCAAAACAACAAGAAGACAGAAAGCCAAACGTGGCCTCAAATCTTTGGGAATCGCCTTGACCTTACCTTTGCTATTAACCCTTTTAGACATCTCTTTCTTTGGGTCCAGTTACCAGTACGTTTCAATGGAGAAACCCTTTTGGATCCCACGTTTGTGGGCTTTGCACTTAGCTTGCTTGGGTTCTGCTTTTCTGATGGGCCTTTCTGCTTGGCTTGTTTGGGCTGACGGTGGATTTCATCGCCAGCCTATGGCTATGATCTTGTACTTAAGCCAATTGGGGTTGAGTTTGGCTTGGGATCCTGTGGTGTTTAAGGTTGGAGCTACTAAGATAGGGTTGGTTTTGTGCATGGCTTTGTTTGGAGTGTTGATTGCTTGTGCTAGGGCTTTTAAAAGCGTGAATCCTATAGCAGGGGATCTGGTAAAACCATGCCTTGGATGGGCTGTGATTCTGAGTCTCGCAAATCTGAAGCTTGTATACCACTAGGAATCATGTAGATGCTATACGCACTTGTTCTTTTGCCTGTAATGTAATGTACTGTAATTTAGATCTACTTGTATTCTGTATTTGCTGCTTTATATTTTACATCCTAAAATGCATGGAATGAAAGATCTTATAAATTTTCATGGCATGAGATCGTGCGCTAACTAGTCGCAGTAATTTTGTGACACGTTCTCCTTGTTTGATTGATGAGTTAATTCTTTTTTATTCGCAGTCCGAGGTATTTTGCTCTTCTTTTTTTTTTTTTTAGGGTAAAAAGAGAGAAAAATAGAGATACCATTAATTCTTGAATCGCGGGAAAAAAAATAGTGTCAGTGGAGTAAGAATGTAAGAATGTTTTGCAGGGCCAGGTAGTAAATTCTTGAACGAGTTCTTCAAAACATCCTAACTTGGGAACAAAAGCAAATACTGGAATTTTCCTGGGAGAACCTGAGCCTTAAGTTTCAAGCATGATCCTTACCTAGTACCAGGAAGTTAAACCTTGTATAACATGTCCAATATCTAAAAACGGGACAGGTGTTCCCAAGTAAAATGTACAGAGACAGTAACCATAGAGGTCAGCGGAAAATGCTTGTTAATTCATGTTCATCATCATATCCTAAGACATAGACATGGGTGCGAATTTAGAGGTGGGATCCTTCGAGATGTAAATTTGGTCGAAGGTCCTTCGAAATGTAAATTTTAATAAATTTTAAGATAAGATTTGGAATACGGATCGGGTTGGTTAAAAATAATTTAAAATATAAAAAATATTTTTAACTGGTGAAGTGTGAATTTTTTATTGTATTTTCAGGTTGTAGAAGAGAAAAGGATTGATTTCCTAGATAATGTATGCTATTTTCTTCAAATTTACCCTAATTTTGGTTTTGTTTGGGAATTAAATTGTATATCGTCTCGAATTTTTTCGTTTGTTTAGTCAAAGTACCCAAAATTGTTTAACCAGATCCGGTACAAATCCTATACCCAAAATCATATTAGTGTCGTGTTGACACGGGTGCGGCACCTAAACTGCCATGTCGGAGCAACTTAGATCATATCAGAACCTTAAAAGCAAGACGAATATATAGCCTGAGCTGCTGCCTTGGCACTAAAATATGTGTGTAATGGTTGAGGAACAATTATCAGAACAGGGAACTTAAATCATCCAGGCCCGAGCAAGAAAATGACTTTGAGCAACGGTGTCATAGCACTAAATTCTAGTCAGTGCAGCAGAGCTTCCTAAGTGTCACAGAAATTCTCCTCTTCTGATCAATCTCTTGGCCTTCCCATTTTTGAAACCCAGGCTTTCGGTTTATCTCATGCTTCCAAAGGTAGCGTGCTTCTCCCCACATCAAAATAAGACATCCTGGGATCAAGAGCAAAGGTACTTTTTGTGGTGGATCTTGGTCTCTGCATGTTTCATTCTCGACTCGAGTAAAATGCATCACACAGGATGACTCCAGAGATACGATAGCAATTCCATCCTCAAAGCGCATTAGATCAACATGTGGACAGATACCCTGTTATAAAGCAATGCCATTTCATTACCAGGATACTACTAACTGGTGATGCTAAATCAACTAAGCCTATCAATCTAAAATCCAGTGTGGTCAAAGCTGCTGACGAGAAAATCATGCTTAATTAACATTGCATATCGATCTAAAATCCAATACAGTTCGAATCTGCTAATAAAAATCACTCCACAATTTGCAGTAATATTTTGACTCAAATAGAAGAAAAAGAGAAGAAATCATGATATCACTGTTCAGTATAAAAGAAAATTAAAAGGCACTGGTAAGGAGATTAAGATTAAGAAGACTATGCGCACTATATGAGAATTTTAGTCCTTTGCCCAAAAAAGAAAAAAATATTACCATTTGGAAAGACTGAAAGCAAAGATGATGTTTTAATAGCAGCTAAGCCTAGATGTTAATACCAGCTCGTGTACTTTTAGCATACCCACAGCAGAGAGGCATCTTATCCTAAAAGTTTCCAGCTTCACAGTCTATTGTTCTTTTGCCTGGGAACAGATCAAAGTTGTTCAATCATGACACAAACTTTTGTTTGTACGGTCATATAAGTGCTACGGATGAAATCTGATTGACTAGACTTTGAGAAACAAAATTCCAGTATCTCAGAATACTAGTGTAGGAAAGCTCTCCTCTACTAGATATTTATTCAATTTCTTTGACCGACTTAGTTCATTGCTACGAGAATCTATATCATACTAATAAGCTTCACTTCATAAACCAGAACCCTGTTTATACTTCTTAACCGTCTAGCACGCATTTCTCGATTTGTGCATGTCATCCTTGCGCAACGAGGGAGGGATTGTGGGTCTAAGGAGAGGTAGGAGAAGGCCAAAGAAGTATTGGTGAGAAATGATTATACAGGACATGACATATTTTCAGCTTACCAAGAACATGACCCTAGATACAAGGATTTGGATGTCGATGATAAACGTAGAAGGTTAGTAGGTAGTCGAGTTTGGGAAACCGTATATGCACCATCATTCCATTCTCGTATTATTTTTATTCTTTTATTTTCTATTATTACATATTCTTACCCTTGCTTCGGTTGTCATATTATTACTGTTCTTGTTTTTCTTTTCCAAAACTATTGAAAAAATGTTTTCTTGAGCCGAGGGTCTTCCGGAAACAACCTCTCTACCTTCACAAGGCAGCGATAAAGTCTGTGCACACACTATCCTCTCCAAACCCCACAGTACGGGAATACACTGGTTTGTTGTTGTTGTTGTATCCTTGTGCAAGGGCCGATATACTAGTCTTCTCTGTGTCATTCCAATTTTATCGGATGTCCAAGGAGCGACTCTTAACCGTCAAGCATGCATTTGGTAGACTGCACACAGTAGCACAAAATCATAATACGATATCTAGGGATTTTACACCAATTACCAAGATTTGTAACAATACTTAATGCGTTGATCCTTTTTGTTGGCATCTTATACTGCATCATCTAACTTGATGGTTCTACTAGTTGAACAGTTAGTAGCATTTTAGCTGCATAATGGTACTGTGGTAAAACACTGATAGATGAAAAAACAGTTCTATGAAAGGATAAAACCGCACCTCACCTGGTCGATACATGTTAACTATAAGTTGATCAAATAGAGGTTTCCTCCATAACAGATCTTGTGGAAAGATACACGCTTCCTTGCCCTTTTCACAGCTCTCCAACTCTGCAACACAATTATCGAAAAGAATCGCCTCATGGATAGAGCTGGAGAGCTCAACTGCCCACCCTGGTAGGTCACCAAACCTCATAGCCTGCAGGGGAGGAAAATACACGTGATCAAGTGCATCGATAAATGACTCTAGGTTAAAATAGTCGAACAGTGTGAACCCATTAAGAGAAATGCAAAAATCCATTGTTGGTTGAATTTTTTTTTAACTTAGTCACATAATCAAAGGAAAAGAAAGTGTTAAACAGAATCTTCTGGTCTTTGTCCTTCTCAGAGATAAGTGGAGGACAAACTTTTTCATAGTTCAACTACATGCCAGATATGTTTTGTAGTATTTTTCTATTTTTTATCTGTTTTTCGACTAAAAAAGAATGAGATTACTCTGAAGAACTATTATTACATGGAGAATGAAGAGTCTAAAGTTTTTGAATTTCGAATGAAAGAATTGGTTTGATGCATATGGTAGAAATAACCTACCAATTCACCACTTGTACTGACTTGTGCATCCATTCACCAACTTCAGAGAAAAGTGTCATAAAAAAAAAGTGCAGCCCAGTACACAAAGCATCTCACATTCATACAGTGTTTGGGGAAGGATCGCACCCCTTAGGGTGTGATGTAGACAGTCTATCCTAATGCAAGCATTAGTAGTTGCTTTCACGGCTCGAACCGGTGACCTATAAGTCATACGGAGACAACTTTTTGCTCCAAGACTCCCCTTCAGCGAAGTGTCAAAAGTACAGCTGATTTACCCCCAAATACAATACCCGACATGTTTCTTCTCCCTTGAGTAGCAGTGATATAAATTCTCAACTTAAGATTTAGGGACACTAAATTCAAAAGTTCACATTTTTACATAAAAATCAGGAAACATCTTATTTCAAATGAAACATAAAGGGTCCTTTTCTACATAATTCAGGCACACAAGTATGAAAATTAAAGATTTAACTTGGAAATAGCAATAGTGAGTCACTATATCCTTCAGCCAAATGACACATGAGTAAGCTTTTAAATCACCCTTAATTAAAGGGAACAAGTGTACTATAAAAGAATGCGGTGAAGGTTTGAGGATCCAACAAGACCTGATTGCTTGAGGATTGAGCAAACCATTCTTCTGCAGCCACAATAGAGTCAAGAAGCAAAAGTAAGAGCTTTGATGTAAAATAGGAGTAATAGATTCAGTTGGACCCACATAATACGCCTACCTTTTTGGATTGATGATAACAACTTTGATTGTTGATCAGGAGATAGGAAGTCTTTGCACAACCAGAGACCATCAATTTCACTGATTTTTTCCCAGTCATGACTTTCTCCAAACACTGACCCGGTTAGGGCTTCTCCATTATCCCGATTCTCTACACAGTGAGAATGGACAAGTTGTTGTTGTTCTTCGCCTTCGCTGTCTGATGACTCGCCAAATGCTTCCGTTAGAATCGTCTTCAGCTGCTCTTCCATATTATTGTTCTTAAAATCTGATTCTCTTCCACTTCAATTTTGCCTTGCTGTTTGCACAGTTCCAGTTTCAGTTTTTTTTTTTTTTTTTTAAAATTTTTAATTTCTATTTCCGGAAAGTTGTCCTTTTTGGCCACTTTAAATTTTTCTACTAGTAATATGCAATAATACATATTTTGTTACGAAATAAAAGTAATATAACAAGAACAATGTAATTAAGATTAATAATAGAAAATAATGATAATATTAGAAAGGAGCGTTTCTTTCTTCATTTCAAAGTGTCTTCTTAGGTTCATGAATGAACCTTTTTATAGATACAATAAAATATATATATATATATATAAGAGCAATAGAAAAGTGAGGTGACATGTTTTTTTGACCAAGAATCACATTTATTTTTTTCCTCAATTTTTTGACATTTTCCCATTTTCCTCTATTTATGTGGTTTATTAAAATATTCAAAAGTCACTTCTTAATTATATTCTCTTAATTACACCGTTACTCATCTTTCTACTTTAACTTTTTTTCAGTTTAGAAAGTCCAAAAGACTCTATTATTAATTCTCTAAATAATTTTCCTTCAATGACGACTAGTGTAAACATTTAGTGTCCGTTTGGATTGGCTTATTTTAAGTGCTTTTAAGTCAAAATAACTTTTAAGCCATTTTGTAGTGTTTAGATAGAGTAAAAAAGTACTTTTAAGCACTTATTTTTAAGTTAAAATGACAAAAACAAGCTAAAAGCCAAAAGCCAAAAGCTAGAATTCCTAACTTATGGCTTAAAAGCTATTTTAGCTTAAAAGCCACTTAAATAAGCCCATCCAAACGGGCTCTTAACATGCCGCTCTGATCACCTCATGGGGAGGAGTTTACAAATTCTAATCTTTTATCATCACAGCCATCTTCATTCATGCATGGTGAGAATTCTGTTTGACTCAAAAGATATTGAAACTTTTTTGAACAAATCAAAGAAAATGAAGGGGCAAATCTTAGTCAAGTCTAATAACCTCCAAATCTATAAACGAATAGGAGAATAATGCATAAAATGAAATAGGAATAGATCAATCTCATTGATATTATACATTTCTTCATTCATTAATCGATGAAGATCATTCATTTTTGTCTTCCATGGGAAGACTCCTCTTTCTAAGAAGATTACAGAGGAGAAGCCGGAGAGAGAAAAAAGCCCCTCTTTCTAAGAAGATTACAGAGGAGAAGCCAGAGAGAGAAAAAAACTCCTCTTTCTTGAGAGACTCCTCCCCTATATATAGTTATGAAATTCTCACTATGGGTCAATACAAACTCGCACGACGTCCGCTTTCGTCGTTCCCTGAGTGTCATTCTCTGTTACGGCGGGTATTGTAATTAAGTACGGGGTTTCGGAGCAAACCGTGTCGTCCTTCACTATCTCGTCGCTTAGACGGGATCTTGGTCAGGCCGACTGCAGCGATTAGATTTTGACCAATACAAATTCTCTGTATAATTCTTTACTAAACTTTTTAATCAGTTTGTCGCTTTAGGATTCAGTTTAATTTTCTTATCGATCTACTAAACTTGGTTAAGATTTCCAGAAACACATGATATGTTTGAATACTGAATTGCTGAAGCTTTTGCCCCTTTTTTCGACCCTTCTGTTATGGAAGGTGTTATTGTTATACAAACTTTTAATTTGGTTGGATCATTATTTTTGTCTTTTTTTTGGATTTTCCCTGAAGAAAATATAATAATTTAAAGCTTTTTGCTCAATGCACTCTTTTATCTTTTAGCAACGTTACTAATTAGAGAACAAATTTGTCATTATTCATGGCATATTAATTAGAGGAGAATGAAATGAAGATCATGCAGTCTCTTTTGTGAAGGTTTGAGACGTTACCTTACAAATTTAAGGATTAATGCATTGTAAGTAAATGTAGTGGTATACGTTTTTACTTAGAGATTTGCAGGTCCCTTTAATTTCTCTCCCTCTTTGTTTTTTCTTTACTTTACTTCTTTATTGTATAATGTTTCTTTCTTTCTTTCTTTCTCTCTTTTTTATTGCTACGGAACTTGATTTTAAGGTGGAACTTTTCTCAATATGAATAATAATGCTTCGATGCATGACAGAAGAGCTGGAGTATAAATCTATTTGGGTAGTCTAGGATTTAAAAAAATCAATACTGACTCATTCATTTGGTGGGATGTTGCTAATTATCGTGGCTGCTAAAAATTAAAATAAATACTAGAAGTCATTGTTTCTGGTTCGTGATATGATGGTTTATAAATTATGCCCAGTGAAAGACAAACTCCAATGATGGAGAAGGTTATGATTTTTTAAGGTTAATATTCACATGCTCCAATTATTCTAACAGATGCATGCATAGGTTGAATGTCAAATTAGCCCTAACCGTTGCGGTAACAATAATACTAGACTGTTCACTTATTCGACTGTGAGCATCTTCGTTCTTACTAATAAATTACATAATTCTTTTCAGTTTCATTTGAACTTTATGATAGGTTATTCATAGAGATAGAGTGATGAGTATAAGCACCAGACAATATCCATGGACAAACATCTCCCCTGTTTAAGCTTAGAGGAACTCCCAATAATATCAATATCTTATCTGGAAATTGAAAGTCATTAGAGTAATTTTGCCTACTATGCCTTCTTTTGTTAAGTAGTTTCGTTTCGCATAGAGAATGACAGTTGAAATTTTAGTCAGGTTCATACGAATTCTCTTTATATTGAATTTGTCGAATAAAGTTCAAATGAAACGAAGTGAGCAGATAATTTTTTGGACTTATGCAATTTTACTGCTATAATTTAACGATTTTGAGGCTATAGAGAATTATTTCAGAGTGAAAAAGTGGATAGTTAGGAAAGGTGATCGAAAGTTAGAGCAGAAAAAATGGAAGTAAGAAAAGAAGAAAAATAAAACGAAAAAGATTTAAAAAAAGGGGGAAAAGGATAAAGACAAAAAATTTCCAAATGATGTAGTTTAAAGCCGTCATTTTACTTGAAATTGTATTTTGGCTTTACATTATTTTAAGAAAAATAAAAAAGATTAGTGTACCTATATATTAATTACACAAGTAGAAAACAAGAGATATATTTACAACTAAGTGTTACAATATGGAAGGAGTTTAACTTTAATAATTAGGTACTATAAAAAGTTATTTGTAAATTTAATAATATCTATTATTACCGCGCGAAGCGCGGACGGAATCACTAGTTGTTGCATAATTTCCTAAATTTAGTTGAGTCTCAAAATCAACACAAATCTAGATATGAAGACATATCTTGATATGACAAGATTTCCAAATTCCAAGTTGGAGATCCACCTTCTATGCAAGTGGATTTATAACTCTCCCCGTTGGATGTCCATTAAAAAGATAATAGTGCCTCGTTAAAATTTTACTAAGAAAATCCAGTGGGAAAAAATCTATTGAAAGAAAAAGAGTACATATATCTTGTAGTACGCATTGAGAGCTGCCTTATTGATAACTAAGGATTTTGACGCATTTTATACTCCTTCTTGCTTATGCTTTGATTAGAAATTCATACAAAATAATCCCAAAAGGCTCACAAGTTGTACTTGATTGCAGGTTTGATCAATAAAAGGACAAGGTGTCAAAGATCAGCTCAAAAGGAGTGAAACTTGCACAAGTGCCAAAGACAAGACAAGCTCAGGCAAAATAGGCCCAGTGCGGCCGCACACCACTTTGTGCGGTCCGCACTAGGAGATTCAGAGAGGTGGAATTTCAGGCATAAAGGCAATGCGGCCGCACTAGGATTTGTGCGGTCAGCACTGAAATGCGGCCGCACTTGATTTAGTGCGGTCCGCAGAACACAAGATCAGAGAGATACCATTTTCAGAGTTTCAAGCCAATGCGGTCCGCAGTCGATTTTGTGCGGACCGCACAAGAAGCCTCCGCGGCTGCAGTTCATCCTGTACGGTCCGCAATGCCTGAGTTCAGAGAGTCAGATTTTGAGGTTCAGAGCCCTAGTGCGGCCACACACCATTTTGTGCGGTCCGCACTAATCCCGCAGGGGCATTTTTATCCAGAATTATCAGCTTAGTATAAATAGCTTCTTTTCCATTTTTAGGTCAAGCAAATAGTATCAGAACATAGCTGCGCTCGTGGGTTCGAAGTTTGTAGCCATTTTGGGCAATTTTATCTACATTTCATCAGTGAATCTTTGTGTTTATCTTAGTAATTAATTAATATGAGTTTATCTTCATCTATTTCTTGTTTTTCTTCTTTACTTATGAGCAGCTAGACCCATCAGCTAGGGTTGTGGCTCAACCCTAGTGTGGGTAATTGATGGGTCTTGTATTTTAGGGCTTGATTGACTATGGGTGTTTGATATTTGGGCTAATTCCATGTGTAATTGTTAAATTAGTGGCTGCAAACACTAGTTTGTGTTTAGTTGACTTTTGCTCTTCTTGAGAAAGAGAGCCTAAGTCTCTAGAATTAGTCCAACAAGGAATTGGGGCGTACTCAAGAGAATTGATAGCCCCAATTAAAGGGTTAAACCGAGAGATCGTAATACCCGACTTGAACCCTAGTTGCTTGTGCAAATTTGCATACCCAATTGATCTTGAGAAAGTCAATTCGGGCAAAATCACTCAAACCACCGAGAGGTGTAGAGTGGGTAAAGTCGTGCAACGGTTATATCATACTCACCAAATATGTCAAACGTGCCTTAAACTCAAGTACCCGTCAATTGACCACCTAGGCGGAAGTCACTACCCTAGTGCCTTTTACACCATTTGAACAACCCGTAGCATTATAACTCTTAGCGTAATTTAGTTGCATTTAACATTTGTAGTTTGATAGATAGTAGAAGTAAAACAAAAACCCCAAAAATGTTTAGAAGCGTAATTTGGAACACATACGCAACTCTACACTAGATAGATATTCGATTCCAAATTCTAGCTCTCTGTGGATATCGATCCCGACCCTAAATCGGGTAAAAGCTGCTACGACCCTCTCTCGCTACTTAATTAGTAGTGTGGAGTAGGCCGCGATCACTTATTAAAAACCTTGCCAGGAAAATTCAATTGAGACAAAACCTTAGTTAAGAAAAAAAGAGAATAGCGCGTATTTCTCCCCTAATGAAAATTCTATTTGATATCTCAAAGACGACACATTCCAATTCTACATCTCAATTTATCAAATGTAGATGCCGCTAATGCCTTAGTGAACAAATCTGTCAAATTATCACTTGAACGAACTTGTTGAACATCTAATTCACTATTCTTTTGAAGATCGTGCGTGAAAAAGAATTTTGGTG